ATACGAAAAGAATTATACGAAACGTCAATTTTTATCAGAAAGAAAGATGAATATATCAAATATGTTTCGATAAATAATTTTTCGGAATAAAAAAAGCTTCGTTACATCATCGATAATATTGCGGTTCATGTGTTTTGAGATTTTCCTTTTTTTCGAGAGAGAAACGGCCACAAAAATCCGACCGAGTCGTTTCCGAATAGCCAACTAACAAATCGGCCGATCTGTACAATGGGGCGAAAAATGAAACTCTAAAGGGGATCCTGGTCGAAAGAAGAACCACCGAGGAATGGAGACTCATAAAAAGGGTACTAACGCCACGCAAGATGATCCCATGTCGAGATGACGACGCCCTGGCGCCCTGATTCCCGACACCTTTGACAGCGCCCCATAAAATCTACTCACAGCTAAAATATACGCATCTCGGGTAGGTTCGATATTTTTACCTGCGAGTGGATCAAGAGAATTGCGGTTGCTTCCTGCAGTTGCGCGCGGTATGATTCAAACAAGATTTAATTACCAAAATCGTAAACTTTGATTTGATTTGTCGCGTATTAAAGATAACTTGGAAAAGAACACGTTTCAATATTTCGCCATCTGACAAGTTCGAGATATATTCGCGATGGGAGATCTCGTCGGAGGTAAATGCCTCGGTATCGTCTAATGATTGTTAATCATCGTAAAGCCATCTTTGACGCGCGCAAGATAAATTTAATAGTAACCATTAAACAAGCGAACGGGAATATATCTCAGCCGTGTATATTCCATACTTCAAAGCACACACACGGCCCATAGGGAAGCGGGACAGGTCGTTTGGTGAGTCGCGCCGCGAGAATAAATGATCTCCGCGAGTCGAATCCGAGGCGCAACCATCTCGCCTTCTCGTCCCCTCCGACCGAGCGTCCGTTCGTGGAGAAATACATAATAAGAATGCAATTACAAAATTAAACGAGGTCCCTATAAATACGCTTAGGTAGAACGAACGGCGTCGGGGAAGAGAGGATCGCGAAACGCGAGGAGGCGGAAGAAGGAACGGTTAATTTGTTGTGCATCAGCAGCACCGGCAGCTACGAAGACAAGCTACGCCGAGAGGTACCGGGGTCGTACTAAGAAAATAACTAGAGATAATTACGCGCATAAATCAGAGTGTTAATATTCGGGGGCGTAGGTAGGAGGCGCACAGGTAGATAAATTCGCCTATAGGTAGAGGTAGGATTCGTGGATATATACATGAAGGAAAAAGAGAAAGGGGACAGCGCGGAGTCAAACGAGAGACGGAGAGAGAGGAGGCAACGCTAGTCGGGGAGGGTAAGAGAGAGAGCGGAATAATGCCAACTTTGGATCGGTAGATCATTCGTGTCCGTTGGATACGCCTCCTTGTTAGTCTGGGTTTACTTAGTCCTTCGACGCTCCTACGACGTGCGTTACGCCCGCTAATAGCCCACCGGTAACGAACTACCGTCGGCCTTTTTTGAGGACCTTTTAAGCGAAAACGCGTTTCTCCTCTCGCGCGCTGCCTCTTATCGATCATGGCCGTCATCGCGAGAAAGGATCGCCTCTCTGGAGAGTCGTCTCTGAAAGCGAATTCCTTCCCACGTTCGCCAGACGGAAGGATACGCGCCACTTAAAGAGCAGTCCTTAGGGCGATATTCGTAATTTATCGGCCGCAAATGAAAGGTGCTCGCGCGCGAATTATTATTTCCAGTCGTTCGCGCCGGATCATTCTCGGTGTCGCTCGACAAGGACGGTTCGTGCGGCATCGAAATTTTTCCCGAGCGGCAGCGACCGACAGTGGCGAAGGGAAACAGCGTTACAGCGGGTGAAAGAAGGGGAGAAAGATGCACGGTGGCGTTGAAACGCTCATAACAGGTGGACCGATACTCGGCTTCGAGATACATCTTCGAGGTGGGCGGTCCCGCACTCCTTAAATCAGCCCGCGGCCACACCATAACATTAAGCTCACCTCCTCCTCCTCCTCCTCTCACGGCACTCTCTCATCTCCGGCCGTTTATTTGTTTGCTTAGAGCGAGTAATTAGAATCCAATACAAATGGTTATTATTTATCGGCATCGAGAGAGGGCGAGCGAGAGCCGACCGCGAGAGAGACCCTTACGAATGCACCAACGGAACGAACGGGGTATACCTCCTGATTGCCTGGCGTTATTAAACCGGGAGATACCACGAGATAAATACACGGAGGCCAAACCCGCAAATACCGGTCGCTATATAATATTGCCCGGGCGATCCTCGCTAACAGCTTTTATTCGTGAGCGACGCAGAACTCAATTATTACAGTGTTGTCCTCCGCGAATAATGCTATTAATAATTCGTTACGTTTTATAAATATCTATCATCGCTCGTTTAAACTGGAATTTTTTTCAATCTCGCTCGTAGCTCGAGCGAATCGCTTAACGCTTTGAGATCGATTTTAATAATTAATCGATCGAGTTTCTAAGAAATGGGAAACGAGAAAGATGCGGGCTACGAGATAAACAAAGTCCACGGCGATCGGCGACAGTTGCAGCTGTCAAAGTGCCATAGAAGCGGGTTCGTGGAAATAAACATAATAGGGACGATCGAACAGCCGCGCGTCACGTCAAACCGACAATGCACCGGTCTTGCATTTCCGAGGAAGGCACGCGCGACTCACAGAAGCGAATCTATCGCGATGCCAGACACGTCCGTTAATAAAGCATAATGGGCAAGTATAGTGCGACGACGATGACGACGGTGTACACCTGACCCACAGAATACAATGGCCGTCCGCGATGTTTGAGAATCACGCGTGAATCGCGCGTGTATGAACGGACCGCTAATACGGGTTCGTAGACAATAAATGACAAAGGACGGTGAAAATACACGCCGCGATTGTAGCAGACAATAAGAAAAGATGTAACGCGTCGAATAAAAATGTTCAATTACTTTGCTATTTTCTTTATCTGAAAAAAAAAAAAATATACAGAATCTAAAGTTAAATTCTCTTATACATTCTGCGAGTTTGCATTTAAATTTTCTCTTCAGAGACTAGAATCAAATGTTTGACTGATTCACTCGCAACAAGATCCTCGCCAGCAATGTCTAATTAGTCGAATATCGAATAATAGTCCGATTTATTTATTCCGACGAAGAGGGATAGAGATACGCCGGGGGTAACGTTGATTAGCTCCGGTGTTGATTTAATTACCGGGAGAGTAATTGGCATGCCTACTGACGATCCCGTTCCCTCTCGACTCTCTCCCCTTTCTCCCCCCCCGGCACCCCGTGTCGCTTACTTCACCCAGCTCTCCAGCACCCTATCGAGTCACACCCTCTCCGGTCTAAACTCTGTTGCATATTCATCGATGATAGATTATTATATGTCTACGTGTACCAAGACTCGGCGCGCGCAGGAACAACCGTTCTTGTCATATACCTATTCGATACACGATAGATATATACGATAGATAGATACGGTGGATAAAAATTTACGCGACCAACGCGATAATTTGGCAAACACTCGCTTTATGTTCATCTGTTCCGAAACGAAAAATTATCGACGCTCGAGTTTTATTTTTTCGCTTTTCAAGTATCGTAAATTGGTTTATTCGCCTGGTTTATGCGTGTGTTTTGCGGAAGAGATATGGCGCGAATAAAAAAAAAAGACAGAAAAACAAACAAACGACAGAGCGGTTCGTTGCCAATTTTCGCGAGTCCGAGACACGTCGCAAAAAGGACCGCGGACGATTTGGGTTCGCTACGGACGTATATAGGCGAACGTATATCGCGGCGATGTTATCCGCAAACACGCGGGTTCGGCCAATTTATCCCAAGGGATGAGGCCGACGTGGCCCGGCCGGTGGTGGGTGTGGGGCAGCCTTGTCCAGCGGAATGAATTCAGCACGCAGCCCCTATGCGGTCGAGCTGCCTCTCCTACCCCTTTCGCCGACCATCTCCAACCACCGTGCAACGTCCCCACCTTTTGATCACTTCACCCTCTCGTCCGCCCCTTCCTCTTTCTCGCTCAACATTCGCGTGCAAGTTAAGGTTGCCTCAGATAGGAAAAACGATGATAAGAGAAGAGATGTATTTAACGCGCAGCGTGCTTCGATCATAAAATTATTAAGATTAGTAAAATTCCATAAATATTTCATTAATTAATCTTGAGAGTATAATCTCTTGTTACTCCATTTGTGTTTAAGTTACATTTTTATATAATCAGCAGTTACGTAATGCGGAATGTAATGAAATATTTAATATTTTTACATCATCTTAACTTTAACGCTCCACGGGGGGCGTCGTTGAAGGAGCAGCTTCGTGGAACGCTTGACAGACGGAGATTTATAATCGATACAAGTGGTGTGAATGGCCCTTTAACCCGTCCGCTACCATCCGCCACTCCTGATCCGCTCCACATATCGCTAGCGTGGTATACAACGGCTGCCTGATTGCCACGGGGGCTCTTAGATTTATTGACCTGTCAATGGCGGCGCGCGAAAACGGCGAATTTACAACGCCGCAGGTGTTAAGTTCTGCCGTGCGTGTAATAACGGCCTGATCCCCAGGCCTTACGGTAAGCCACACACCGTAATTATATATTTCCGAACCTCGCGCCCGCTACCTTTGTCATTATCACCCAAAGTGGCGTAGCCGTAATTCAATGAGATCCATTGCGCGTTCGTACATGAACGATAAAAAATCGATAAAACGTCGCGAAAATCTAGGAAATTTTTGCGCGCGTGTATTACGAGTCGTACATTCCTTCTAGGCGAGATTACGGTGTTTTTTTTCTTTTATCTAGATGTTAAAGTTATAGCTAAAAATATTTTCGTCATCATCTAAAGAGATGAGGGATCTCCCTCATCTCTCGATGATTTGTAACATCGCAATTAAAAGCGAAGCGATGCGAGTTTTCGATATTCTAGGTGAAAAATGTTTCGCGTTATCGCTCGTCTTAGAGTTCCACGTGAATGCTCGTGAAATGATTTACGATCGGGTCAGAGCGAAATGATAGAGTAGACTCTTACCTTGAGTCTGGTGAGACGAGGTTCCTCGGCTGCGAGTTTCGCCAACGCCTGGTAGTCCCCCTGCGCCGCCCTGACCAGCCACTCCCGCGATTTTCCATCCAGTTGCTTTGAGGAAACATCGATCGCGATTATTAGCAATTAATGGCGCGAGAGGTCGATCGACGAAGGATCGATCGGCAACGCTGAAGATCGAGCGAGGCCCGTCCGATCGAGAGCGGGCGAATTTTAATTAAGATCCCCGGCCACGATCCTGGCGTGCATTCATCAAGGTGCACGTCCGACCGCGGAGAGGGAATTATGCCCCGTACAGCTCTCTCATCGGATTGGCGCGCGCAATAATCGCGATCTGCGGTGGGTGATGAACTTACCGAGGCAACGGAAGCGCTGTCATCCTCGTCGGCGCCCTGCGGAGAAAAGAGAGAGAGGGGTTAGAGCTGAGATCCGTCGAAAAATCAACATTACGCGCTACGTCACGCGGACGATCGCGCGCGCAACCGATGGCGGCGAAAACCGGTCCGCTGCATATGGCGTTGGCGTTGGTTGCATTCTGGAGAGTACATCGACGTGTATGTGTGTGTGTGTGTATTGCGAGGATAGTAAGAGAGAAAGAGAATGAGAGGGAAGAAAATGCGTGAGCGCAGCGGGAGGCCACCGCGCGCGCTTCGCCCATCAGATTGATATACGGATCCAATAATTGATTCTCCGGCGCAAGACCTTGGGAGGTTGGCTGGCTCGGCCGCACGCACTTACGCAACTCCCGCCGTCCCAGGAACAGACGTCCCATTTCGGAAACGTCGGTCCTCCCCCTCTTTCCCTCGACACTCGGCAAATCGAACGATTCTCGATCACGATTATCAAGGTAACGGAATACGTAAAGCATGCTTGAGATACTTTTGATAAAATTCTTATACACGCGATGTACTCTCGGTATCGGCTTACGATTCGCTCGAGCAAATCCTCGACGATATCTTAAAGTCGCAAATAACGCTTTTTAACGAGAAACTCGTCGTTTAATCGCGTTCGCGTATACCGATCTTCGACGCGCGGTTTCGCGTTATACGCGTGATACCGCGGTAGGATGACGCCGAGGACGGAGGTGGCGGTTGCGGAGGAGAGGAAAGGGTTCTCTCCCGATCCCAGGAACGCTAAACGACTACTCATCCCTGTTAAACTGTTTGTATTTTCACTCGTCACGGCCGCGTCGGTTGTTCGAGGTGCTCATATCGACACTCGGCCCCGAATCGATCGTGACTCTTCATAAATTATCGGGCCGGCCGCGCGAGACGCGCACTTTGGCCGAGTCATCATTAGCCGGCCACGATATATCTCTATCCATCGACAACATCGCGCGTGTCCTTAAGTGAAATCACGTTTCGAAGGACGCGCGAGACGAGTACGCCCCGACATTCCGACGTTAATCCAATTTCCCCTTCCTCCCTTCGCTCACGTCGAAAGGAGAATCGACGGCCACGTCGCGTCACGCGAGAGCTTTCGGAGGATCTCTTCCGGAAATTTCATCTCTTCTCGAAATGATAGTCACTGACCCCCCGTCGCGTCAGGTGATGCATCGAGGTGCGTTCCCAGCTTTCGTGCTCGCTACGTGTGCTCTCGCAACACGCCTGTACGCGTGCGAATGCACAGATGCACGCCGATAGGACGGACTTTGTTATACGTATGCATCGGAGAGGCTATACTTCATCAACGACGCAACAATTGTATTCGCGACAAAAAGACATTACGTTGCCTGGCGGAAACGAAGGCACGCTGCTGAATTAATATTTAATTTCAACCATTCTCGTATCCCGCAACCGTCTTGGTCATTAACCGTATATAATGAAAAATGCAGCCGCTTTTTATTTCCCTCGCATAAGAGCACCTGGTAGAGAAATACGCAGAGATCCTCGATTATTAATGAAGTATATATAAGAATATGTGTAAAGAGAGAGAAGCGATTCTCAAAAATTCTTCTCCGCATATGCTTCGCGATTAATATGCAAATTGTCGCAAAATTATGCAAGCAACGAGAACCCGACCGAATTCGTCGACATTTTACCAAGACCCAAAGAGATTTCGGGGAGAAAGATTCTACCCGAAAAATGTCCAATCTCGGATGATCGGAAGACAGTAACAGATGTTTACGCTCATATGGTATTCGTCGCTGATTGATTTTTAAGCGATTGCGCGAGATACGATCATCTTCGATGAGATGCGAGCCGAAGAGGGGGGAATGCAGAGACACTGGTTCGCTCGTATCTATTACCGGGCTATCCCGGAGATATGCAAATGTTCTCATCCTCCCGTAGCGCGAGAGGTCTCCGCGAACGATCAGACAAACGGGGCCAGTCAGCGACGGCGCACATGGACCATAATGGCGCGGTTATCAGATAAGCTTATAAGACCCGGGTAATCGTAATAGCATCGCGATGGCGATTTCTTCAGCACCGAACGCCGGATGAACGAGAAGAGGCGAGTCGCCCCTCCATCCTTGCCGCTGGCCTCTTTCGACGAGTCATTGTTCCGCCGTAATTAATATTTTAATTGAGATCAGCGGGAATTAATTAACACAACAGACCTGTTAGAGCCCGCGAACCAATCAATCGCGATCCACTTGTCAGAATCAAGATTCAATTCGCCCTCCTACTCGTCTCCTAAATATCTCTATCAACGTGAAACGATCGAGGATACGATTCGCAAAAAGGAGAATTAATCGCAAGTAAATTGATCGTTAGCGAAAGAAGAGAAATAATTCGCCCGTTAATCGAATATTATTAGCAAATTATCTCTCCTATCGAGGATACGTATAATCCGGATATCTGACGGTGGATATTCCATCGTAATAGCGGATACACGTATGGATGTATGGATACGCTCGTGTATCACGTTCGTAATCGGATAAAAAGCTAACGGACGCGACGCATACAAGCCGCGTAATCACTTAGGATCGTGATCCTAGCACGAGCGAGCGAGCCAAGTGTCATAGAAATGGATACAAAGGGCCCATCAGCAGCCGCGGTAACGAGCCGGCTGACCTACCCCCTTCTTCCCTAACCCCTCTCCACCCCCACCACACATCCGTATCTCTCATTGTTATCGCTCTTCGCGGCGCATCAGTGCCGACTCAAAAACACGCTCGCCCGACAGTTAAGCCGCGCACATTCGCGCGTCTAATTCCGCCGAATGTGGCCAGCGGCAGGTACTCGACTACTCGGGCAGGCATGCACGTGCTTACTCGCGCCCTCCTGCTACCTCCGTCTCCCCTCGTCGCTTTTCTCGAACAATAAAAGGAATACGCGATGTAAAGCGGATAGCGAACGCGCGCACTTCTCGTCGGGGTGGAAACGTTTTAATAAGCAGACGTGCGCCGCTGCCCTCCGAGGGGGCGTATAAATATATTCGGTTGCTCTAACGGCGTGCGAGCGACTCGCCGCGCAAGAGAGAGAGATACGAGAGAGACTACGGGGTGCACGAGGAGCGGATATATCGGCGAGACGATGGAGGTAGGGGGAGGGCGGGGGAGGAGGCAGACGTGGTAGAACGAGAGGCAAAACATGTTGCGGCACGAGCTGCCTCGAGAGCTCCGCGGAATTAGCTTTATTATAACCTGGGGGCCATCCATACACGCCTAACAGCGCACGAACATTCGCCGGCCAATAAGCCAAATGCTAACCAAACATTTTCGCGACTCGGCGCACCCTACAATTCATCCCCCTTCTCGCGTCCCTCTCCCCTGCCTGACCGCCTCTGGTCAGCGCCGAAAAGTCCAGCAAGGAGGATCGATCCTGATTAAAATGGGATGTGTATTTAATGCGACCGTCGATCGACGAGACGCCAATCGTGGCGACGATTTATCATATGCTTAATTCTTCGTCGGCAGACGTTGGATCACGAGTGACCCATACCTTCAAAATATTTTTTATAAAATTCGTGCAATAATTCGAATAAATATTATATTTCATATGTACACTGTACAAAAATGTCAATAATTTTTATTTTGAAAATATCTTTGCTTTTTTTGATTGTCAGTTGTAATGTGAATATTATTTTAAGAAACAAAATTAATTAAGAATACAATATGTATATAATTTCTTTATAATATATTTAACGTGTAAAATGTTTAAAATTAAATATATTATGTAAATATATAATTTATATATATAATATATATTAGATTCATTTCAATGAGATGTGGGCAAAAGAAATTTTACTATGGGCCAAAGCTGACTTAATCTTTGCTAAGTCACATCTCGCGCGATTCACATATTGAATGAAACGAGCCACGAAAATTCGTGAAAGAAATTCTGTGCTTTCATCTCAAGGTGCCCCGATGAAAATTAAATTCTGTTTGTTGATTCTCAAAGTGTCCGTCTAGAACACGCTAGATTAATAGATGCATCGCGCATCTTTATCGCGGTCGCAGAGAGGAATCCTCGTATCCATGTCCAACGATCCTTCTCCCCTTTCTCCCATCGGGAGGAACTTTTCTGGCCGCGGCAGCGCCGTGAAACGATTAGGCCCCGGATTAGTCGAGCGCGCGAGATCGATTATGCGATCCTGCGGATAACATTGGCCTGATTTATTCCCCTAATGGGCGTTCGCGCATTCATTTCGAGGCCGTGCGAGGCAATTCCACGGGGCTTCGTCGGATGGCGGTGCCCGTCCTGCCGCTGACAGGAAAACTCTCGCTGGGTGATTCAGCGTTCGGTTCGGCGACGCCTCCCAACGACCACCATAATGCCTACCTATCTCGGGTATACCCACCTACCTAACGCCATTTCCATCGTCGGGGATCATAATCCAAAGGTTCGGTCGCGGGCCGAATGAAATCGCGTCGAAATACGACGACGAGATGCCCGGTACGACGTTTCGACCCTCGCCGATTCTCCCGTTCGTCCGAAAATTTAAATCGATCCGCCGCTCGAATATAATCGAATTTCAACGAAAAAATATAAATAATTTGCTTCGCGATTCGACGGGTCGTACATTGATGGGAGATACTTTGTCTCGCTCGAGATAGAAGGTGTGGCATAAAATGATAAAGCAAAGCGATGCGCGAAAATACCCTTCACCAAACTCGCGGTTAACTATACCGATCCTCGGGCTCGAAATCGGTTCGCGCGAAATTAATTCTCGACGGATGAATCTCGCGCGTAATCATAGCGAGCGACGACAAGTCGGCGTCGCGCGATTACACGACGGTCGGGGAAATTATCGTTCGCGGACGATCATTATCTCGCGCGATAACGGCGTATGAGAGGAGGCGTATGATTCATAACCCGCGGCCTCGTATTTTCGCGGGTGGCACACGTCGAATTTGGTCCGGATGGGCCAAACACGGGGCATCGACACCGCAACGCGCGCTCGCTCTCGCCCAACCGGTCGCCCTCCCCCCGCCCACCCCACCTCC